CCCCCCGCCACACACTACCACAGCCCCCCCCCCAACCGTCGTTGCCCACCATCGCCACCAAACATTGTCACCTACTACCACCACGCCTACCACCACCAACCATCATCACCATTGTCGCCACTCATTGTTACCCACCCCCACCACACCTATAACCACTGCCACCACTGCATCATTCACCACCACCCATCACATTGTCGCCTAAAAGCACCCGTAGTCGCCGACCACCATCATCGTCGCCCACCACCACCACCGCCGTCACCCATGACTGCCACTAATCACCATCGTCACTCAAAACCTACCACCACCAGCACCATTGTCACCCACGACTGCCACTATTATCACGATCATCGCCACCCCCCACAACCAACACCATCTTCCACCACCACAATTGTCACCCACCACCATTACCACCGCTCACCCCCTTACGATTGGTGTTTAAATTCCTTTCTCTTTCCACTATGTCTGTGATTTGATTTTTTGTGTGAATACAAATATATTTATTGTTGTCTATTTTTTTATTTCTCCGTGTCTTCAGGCATGGGAAATAACTAGTCATTTAATATTTGATTAATTTGTAGTTTAACATAATTTTTAGTTTAAACATCATCCATACACGATAATATACACATTTTGTGAAAAACAATTGTCAATATTTTTTAAAAAATAATGAGTAAAAATAAATTTTAAATAATATAATCAAAGAAATGGAAGAAAAAAATTTGTTATTTAACAGTGAAATCAATTTTTTAAACAGTCGAATTTTATGTTATCAATTCCGCTGAGTGGAGTTTCCACAAAGTAAAAGAGCTATTCATCAGTCACAACAAAGTGCGAGTTAGTGCAAAAGTAGAGGATATATAATAAACTAACGAGTTCTCATTGGATGCTAGCATTATCGAGTATTGTAGGAGATCTACTCCAATGAAGATCATCTATCGTTGAACCCTTTAATATATTCTTGATTTTTTTTTAACAAAAAAAAAAGTCAAATACACAAAATTCCTACCGCTGACATTTAACAAAACTAAGATACATGCAACCTTAAAGAGTATGTCTAACTCGATTCTATAACAACAAAGTTTTACTGTTGTGTTAGAACCCACTCTCAATATATTCTTGTTTAGATGTACAAAAAACATGCTCACTGCAAAAGGATGTACAAAACTAACCCTCTTGCCATATTGTTTAGGCAAAGAGTGAAAACTACATTGACCACTACTACTCAATTAGCTTTAGAAGATACCATAATAACTGGTAAAAACCCCGCAATAGCAACGACGTAAAATTACAATCCTATGATGGCAGTTCCCTGGTATTGTTTTCCAATAATCATGATTGCTCGCCACAAGAGCTTTTTCTAGCCCAAAGACATACTAATCGCACAAAAGTAACATGAGATGTCTGACAGAAAGCATTGCTGTGAATCGTTACCATCACCCCATAGGCGTAGGACTCTCTTCCATTCCTGCATCTACCTGATAGCTTCCTAGCATGATTGCAGTCAGCATCAACTTTCCAGCAACCGCAAAGTCCTTGTGTTGCATCAGAATGGCTTCCACTGAACTAACCATATCCTTTGAAGTTGGAGGCTCTAGATTTTCTTGCCTTAGCGGTAGCACTTCATCAAACCCTCCTTCATAATTTTCCGCTTCGGGTCCATTACACCTACTAGAAGCCTGGAAAAGTATGGTTTCTCTAAGAGTCTGTAAGGTCTCTTCATCACTCCACCCTTCATCAATAGATGTTTGATAGAGTCTTTCCCAGTCATCCTGATTGGCACCATTCCTCCAGCACTCCTCCAACACGCACGTGTTACATTTCAAAAAGGATGAGCTGGTGTATGCAAAACATCAAAAGCTCTCAAGGAGAGCTCTCGATTTTTACTTGTAAGGCACAATTCAATAAGATCTACTGGCAGGAGAAGCCGTTGCCTAACATGTTGCTTTTCTTCATTATTAGGATACAGTTCAAAAATTTCCTGCAATATAAGGTGCAAGTAAAAGGAGAAGGGCATCGAAGAAGGGATGAGAAATCAAAGAAAGAGAAGGAAACTTGTGTTGCAAGCAATATCAATATTTAATAATAATCAAAGTCTTCTAAACAAATAGGCATACCACATTCCTTATATATATATATAGTCATATAGGGAATACAAACCCTAAAGCAAATAAATAATCAAAATCACAAATAAGTCTCAAAAGTAAAATAACAAACAACTCTTAATCTCTATATCTACGCCTACTATAACGAAAGACAATCTAATTCCCATCACAAGCTCTAATTGACTTGTCCTTTGTTTTTCTTTTTTCTTTTTAAATTGTAAACATACCCATTGAGCAAACGACTCACCTTCCGATCAATCTTTTATGTGATGGCCACAAATAAATCGATCTCAATGAACTATGCACAACTGACATAGTGCCCAAAGCCTAGAAAAAATCAGACTAGATGAAATAGACTAAGAATTTTATATGGACATAGCATCTAGGAAAAGGTCTGCAAAAGAAACCATTTGAGTAGATGCAATTTTTTTGAAGATAACTCTCCAAAATGGCCAAATAGTTGATACCATGATTCATTAATTGAATCATTTCATGCTGATGGACCTTCATTATGACATAGCAAGCAAGTTTTATCACATTTTCGAATTTTAATAAAATTTTATGTAAAAAAATTACTTGAGGTTATATAGGGGCATTTTTAGTATTTTAAATGAATTTATTTTGTTAGAAATAATAGTTTAATAGTAGGGGGTGTTAGTGACTTTTAAATTAAACTAGAAGGGGTGTCATTGAAGATTCAAAAACTAGAGGGAGTGTCCTTAAAGATATGGTAAACTAGAGGGGGTGTCATTGAAATTTTTCCTATTTTAAATTGACTTGATTTGTCGTATTAATTCAGGCAATAATATTAAAATGTCCTAAAATTCATGGAAAATAAATTGCATTTGGATCATTGAAAAAATTTAATATGATTCAGATTAATTTTGCTATTTATTGAAAAAAAAATTAATTAATTTTTGTTTTTAAACACACAACTTCGGCTTGTCTATAAATAAACAAATAACGACTTAGACTTGAGAGGTATCGATATGTGTATTGTTTTTGTGTTGGAATTTTTTTTTTTCATGATGCATATGATTTTTGTGATTAAAAGTGTATTGTACAAATTTAATTAAATAACTAAACAAAATATTTATTGATATATTTTGTAAAAATGCGTAATTTATTGATTCATATTTTTTATTGTAAAAAAAACAATATTAATGGATTGGACTTTCTTTTTTCATTTCATTCCAAACATAGTATAGGATTAGATCACATTGTTTACGTAAGGGTGAAATGGTCATTTTAGCATATTTTATCTTCACATGTTAATGGAGCCCACATAACAAATGAATCCTATCCAAAGATGGGATAGGATTTGAATCTCATCTTTATAATCCTCCAATCTGGACCACTTTGTATCGGATTGGATTGAGTTCGGATTCCAGTCCAATCCTCCCATGGTGAACCAAACACCACCGGAGTATCAGATCAACACACCAGGTCATGGCTTCGGATTTTATATATATATATATATCAACATGTCGAGTCCCATTATTTTATATATATAATTATTATTATTATTAATTTATTATTATATTAAATTTATTTAAACGGATTAACATGTCTCACCCGAACACGACTTATTTATTAAACGTATGTGACGAGTCAACTCGTTTACCATTCAAACCCGTTAAGATCTCACCTAAACTCATTTAATTCGTGTCGGTTAATCGTGTCGTGTCGGACTTTGACAGGCCTAATCTCAACTGTGAAAAATAAAAATTATTTTGTTTATGTTTTGAAATTTGAATTGTATTATACTTTATTATATAGATAAAATATAAATAGTAGCTAATAATAATACCATTGGAAAGCAATATGTCATTCAAAAAATAAGTTTAAATAAAATATATATATAGTTTAACTAATTATTTCTTCATTACAGTAGTCCAGTCCAAGTAAAAATATCAGAAAATTCACAAAAGATGTTTGTGATAAAGAGATTACAAGTTGATTGTCAAATCTGGTGACAAAAGATTGGCTAATTATACACCCAACAACGACACTAATGCTTTGTGAAGTAATATAATAATCACAGAAAACGTGGGGGGAAATAAACTAATATGGATTTAGTAAAGAAAGGGGATGATTAGAATATGTACTAAACCTGGGAGTCGGTGAAAAATTCAAGAGATGAACTTAGGTACTCAAGAATATCAATCAATAATAAAACTGTAAAAGAGTAAAAAACGGGGACACCCCCTAATTTTGAAATTACTATATGGACATCCTTGACATTTTAAAAATTATACGAAGATCCATTGAGATTTGAAACTCATTGTACAAAGACTCATTTCATCAATATTGCTAACGTAAAGTGATAATTTCATCTCAAAAATTTTATTTTTTTCATAATTGCCCTTCTCCAAATTTAGTATCCAAAAAAATTAAAAATTTAGTAAAATTAAACAAAATTTGATTTAGTACTCAAAAAATTGATTAATTGAATTTCAATATTAATTTGATAGCAATAAAAATTAATTTAAAATGAACTCCACAATGTTGAATATTAATTTGACCAAATTATATGCCAATTTAATAAAATTAAATATTATTTTGTAATCTAATTCATTTCGTATTGAATATTATCAAATCAACACGAAATTGACTTTAGATTATATTTTTGATAATATTATCAATTTTTTTGGTATTAAATTTTTAAAAATTTTTTGTCAACTTTTTAATATTCTTTCACATATTTTCACGTGAACTAGAAAGGTTTTTTAGTTTACTAAGTGGAGTTGAGCGAGTCTTCTAAAAAAAAGTGGGGGTGAACAATTAGTTTAATTTAAGTATGTGTTGTCAAATCTTGACCAAAATAAAGTTTATCAAATCATATAGTAAGAGGGAAGATACTATACTACAAAAAATATGTACTTAAAATTTTATGGGTTAAAATATAAATTTTTAAGTTTATATAGCACAAAAGTTATAATTTAAGGTCAATTTCGTGTTGGTTTAATCAACACCAAATAATATTCAACATTAAATAAATCTTAAATTATAAATTAATATATAATTTTATCAAATTAACATTTAATTTTGTCCAATTTATATTCAACTTTGTTGAATTAATATCAAATTAATTTTTATTGTTATCAAATTAATATTGAAATTCATTTAATCAGTTTTTTGGGGGTACTAAATTATATCAATTTTTTAGATACTAAATCAAAATTTGTTTGATTTTATTAATTTTTTTGGCTGAAATTATCACTTTCTGTTAGGAACATTAACGGAAGGGAGATGAATGGGGTCTCCAAGTAATGAATTTCAAATTTTAGAGAGTCTCCATATTATTTATAAAATGTCATGAAGTATCTATGTAATATTGTCAAAACCTCATAAGATATCAGTGTTTTTTACTTGTAATAAAATATACAAGTACAATGATTTGGTCTCAGGTGCTGGGTGGTGGTGGTGGTGGTGGTGGTGGTGGGAAATATTCAAATCTATGGATACATTCTATATTAAAAAATACTAAATAAATTAAAAAAAATTGACTTAAAAATTTAATTTAATGAATCACTACTATTTACTGACACACACAATTAAATTAATAAAAAATATAACAATTTCATCATCATCAAGTTAAATTTTTAAGTCTAATAATATTGCTCTTCAATATTTACTCTTGGTTGTGACTTTTATTCTAAGTAGTTTAAAACTTCCTCACGGAGACCTCCAACTTTTTTTTGGGTACATGATGTAGATTCTCCGCTAATCATATAACATTGTTTTTGTGTGGAAGGGCTGTAGAGGATTGTGCTAGTTTCAGCACTAGTCGATCTCTATATGCTTCCTTGCTTTTTGATGTCTTTTTTGTGATTTGTCGTGGAATATTTGGTAGAAAAAAATTACTTATAGAGAATCTATACAATTGGTTTACTTACCCAACCAAAAAGAAAAACAAATTTGATTATGAATATTACCCATGTAGCTTAGAGGAGAAGCAATATAAATAATCAAATGAAAAATCATACATTACAACATAAAATATCATCATTTATGCCTAAAATCAAGTCTAATATGAAAATCATACATTAATACGACATAAAATCTTATCATTTACAGATAAAAACAAATCTGATCAAAGTCAAATTTTCCGGAAACCAAAAAAGAGAACCTAAATTTCTCTTTTTTTCAACTTCATTCTATGGTGGAAGAACAAGACAAAGTCGTTGCTTTATCATTGAATTTTGCGGGGAGCAGGGCCTTCGCCTAAAACGACCTTTACCTTTATCTCTTTCTCAATCAAATGATGGCATCAACCCGAGCACTAACTCGAGATTTCATAAACACGCTATTAATGGTCCAAAATCATTTCAATTGCAATTGCATGACTTCCCAAGCAAGGTGACGGAGGAAGGAGTGATTAAGGTAATGGATCGATTATAAATATCACAGTTAAATATAAATAATTTGTATTTATTAATGACTGTGGAGTAAATAATAAATTCGAGTAGTAAGATGTGTAGGACATATTCTAATTTCTAAGCTATATATGGATATTTGTTGTGGCTTAGAGGAGAAGCAATATTGCTATCAACAAAAGCCTTAAATAAAATAATAATGGAATGAAATATAAAAATAGAACACATAAATTTATTTGACTCAGTTGAAAACACTAGTCTACACCCACAAGCGAAGTACAATGGTAAGATTTCATTATATCAAACTGTTGGAGATTATAAAATGTTCTCCTAAGAAAAAAAAAAGAGAATGTGTTTGCTCTATCACTATTATAATGTTAATGGTGCCCAACCAATAATAATTTTTCCAAAAGAGGACCCAAAACAAATAGAGTAAAATCCCAATTTCTTGATCTCTTTGGTCGTAAATTGCAGACCCGCTGCCCTTTAAGAGTCTGTAAGAGATCATCTAATCAAACTGGGACACAAGCCATCATAACAAACATAAATAATATAATGAAAATCATACATTACAGCTTAAAATATCATCATTTATACATAAAACTATATCTGACCTCAAAACCAGACATTAATACAACATAAAACATCATCATTGATTCATAAGAACAAGTTACTAAAAGTAAACCTGTGAGCGTCCTTTCGTATACCACCACAAGTCCATCAATACATATTTTATATATAGATACTACATAAGGAAAGGATAAACTGGTTTTCATACAGAAATTAGGGCTTCAAACCTCCACATCCACGGATTGACATCTTCTTCTATTGCTCTTTCACTCAATTTTACTCTCCTGTGAGAAGGAGATGATCACGAACATAGAGCACATAAAACCCAGGCAAGGAGCAAAGACCAAGGTCGTCCTCATTGAGGAAATAGTAGCCAATGCAATTGATCCCATAGAGATAGAGCTCTTAGCGATGAGAGCTGAAATGAATTGCAGAACCCAATCAAGCCCCCAAAGCAGCAACACAAATAGGAAACAAAGAACCCATTTCCCCCCATCCAAGCTCATGTAATTGGCTAGACTTGTCCCGTAATCAACCACAAGCACTTGCGAACCTATAAAAACACCCAGAGCCACTAAAAACCAGTAGTTTTGATTCTGTAGGACAACCTTGAAAACTTCCTTTTTCGCCAATTTCACGGCAATGAATATCTGGAAGACCTGGTACAGTGTAAAAGTATTGAAAAGTATGGCTTTTTGTTCATTTTGGTTCATTCCAGGTATGGCTCTTCCCATAAACTGAGAGACCATCAAGAACCCAACAGTCTGGATCACGACTTGGCAGATGAAATTTCTCCACATGACTTTCGTCATAAGTGATTTAGTCCTTTTGGTTAGGGTTTCATCTTCATGGGTCATTGGTTCCAGAAATGGAAGATCCATGTTCATCATCAGGCCACCAAGGATACATATGATCAAATTTACCCACATCAATTGACTTGCTGTTATTGGAGACTCTCCAAAACAGATTGTCGTGAATAAAGTTATCAACAACCCGGATATGCTTGCAGTGTGCACAAGTAGAATAAACTTTTGAATCTTTCCATAAACAACTCGACCAAACTTCAGGATTTGAACTAATGAAATCAGACCCTTGTCTGAAGGAACAACTATGCTGGACCTCGCTCTGGCCATTTGGGTGCTTTTATTTTCCATAGAAACCCCCACATCGGCTTCTTTCAAAGCTGAAACATCACCTGTTGTCAACCCCCCAAAATATACAACCACATCTCCTTTTTTTTTCAAGGCCTTCACCATGAGGTGATTGTGCTTAGGCTGTGGGCTACACAACATGGCGACACGGTCCAGCTTCTCTACCCTTTCATCCATGAGTTTCTCAAATGTGTCGCCGTAAACCACCACTTCATTTGAAACAGTATTTATTCCAAGCTGTTGAACCATAGTTCTCACGTCCTCCACATCATCCCTTGATACGAATTTGATGGACACTCCATCTCTTTGAAGAGTTTCTACAACTTCCAGACATGGGTTATTATCAAAATCCACCAGTAACCCTTTAGATACATCGATGCACAAAACAGTGGCCAAGCCAATGGTGCCAATGGCTGATAATTTTTTAGCGTTAATCATAGAAGATGCCATCATCTTCCTGCTCCAGTAGGAGAGAGAAGCTGAAATTGTGAAGGGAACAAGATTTTGTAACCCTAACACAGCAACAGTAAGTGAACTTGTCAAAGTTGGGATCATTCCTTGCTTTCTCAAAAAAATTCCCTCAAAAATCTTCATCATCGCATGGACTGACACTTGGCCAGCCTTCCATTGTGGCAACTGATCATCCACATCACCATTCTCGTTGCTGTGTTTTGTGTAGAAAAATCGGAGGAATGACACAAAAGTAATGACTATAGAGGTGCCGAGGGCAATATAATCTGCATAAGTGTTGAGTTCTTCAATCCGGGCTTGGAACAAGGTCTCTTCAGGCACATCAGAGGTCAACAAGTCCATCAATTCAATATTGGTTGAACCCACTGACGTGACGATCATGTCGCCGTCTCCATCAACAACCCTTGAACCAGAGAAGAGAAATGGGTGTCGATTACAATCGACATGGCGGTCCAACACCTCATCCAACACCAATCCATTGCCACGTACAAGCAACCCATCTCCAGGTACCACATCGCCCTTGGACAATTTAACAAGTTCACCTTCCAAAACATCAAAAATATCAACTCTTTGGGACTTTCCATCTCTCACAACATTGAGCATTTCTGACTCAATTTTCTCCAACAGCTTGCTTATAGCTTTTCTTGCTCGGCAGAGATTAACAACCGAAGGGATTGTCACAAGGCAGAAAATGTTGGCCATGATGAACGCCCCATCAACCCATCCAATTTCAGGTCCTTGCTCTATCATATTTGTGATGAAGCACATAAAAGCTGAGATTAAAAGGAGATATATTGTGTAGTTATTGCAAGCCTTAAGCAAGAAGTGGAATAAGCTCCGAGGATGGACAGCTTTACTGCCTTGTGGTTGTGGTGGCCAAGTACTAAGTCCTGTCTCTATGTGAGAACCGAAAATGGAAGCAACTTTTTCAGCACCGCCGGCAAGTCCCCTCAAGGAGTCCACGTCCTTGTCTCTGACGATGGTTTGGACTCGAAGTTTTGCCTCACTATCGTCAACGGAATTGACGTTGATGACAAGGTGAGCGATTTCAGGTGAGGAACGGCCAGCCGGTGTCGTCGATGGTGATATTGACAATTCTTGCAACGGCGGAGGTTGAGAAATGTCGGCAAGGGTGAGTTTGGTTCCAGCTGAAGTAGAGTCCATGTCCACCGGAGAAAGTGACGGCTCCGCCGAAGGTGCTAGTGATGGTGGCAGTGATGGCAGAAGTGGAGGCGACAGAAGTGCCCCCAGAGATTGAGGTCCAAAAAGTGTGGACTTTGAAGATTCCGCTTCGACGGTCTTGTCATGCGGACCAACAGCGGCAGTGTTGATTGAAGGGATTGGGGGCAGTTCCGGCATGGGTGTCGCCAATAGAAATGGTGAAGATGACAGGTTGAGTGAAGAAGGTGAAGACAAAGGCAAAACTTTTTGAAATTTCTAAGACCTTTTGGCACGAAAAATGGGGTTCAGGATCGGATCATTCAGACAAATATGACAGTAAAATGTGTGTAGCATTGCTTCTGATCATTCGGACATATGAATTTTGGTTCGGAAGCCGTTGCACGATTTGGTAGGCAATGAGTTAGCGGCTATGAGGATATATATACGCGCGTATGAAGGTTCGTCGAAACTTTCCAATGGAAAAAGAAACTGTGAAATTTCCATGCTTCGTCGAAACTAACTTGTATGAAGGGTTACTTTTTTTTGGGGTACGCATGCACTGAAAAAGTAGACAAGGGTTGTCTAAACCCACCGATAAGAGTAATATTATTTGAATTTAAAAATTTAATTTAATTTATTGACGTGATTTTAATAGAACTATTGAATTAATACCAAGTTCTATTGTTTGATGGACTCCACAGTCAATCTAAAGATCATAGTGAATTAGGTCAGTAAATTAGATTCCAATAACATTGCTCAAAGAATATACACTAGAAGAAGTGTTACTTTTTTGAAAAAAGCTCAAAAAATAGTAACACTTCGATATTTTTAATTTTTAATTATAATTTGAGTTATTCATAATTACACGGATTGATTAAGTGTTGTAATGTCATACAATGCAATGCTTCTCAAAAAAAAAAATTGTAAGAATTTATTAGTAGTACAAATTTTTTACTTAAGATCATATTTATTATTCCTCAAAAGTTATTGAAAATTAGCAAGCAATATAGATAGATGATCAACCAAAAAACATGGAAGAAAAGGGTAAGTTTATAAGCCTAATTAAGTGGGTATAAAAACTGGAACACAAACAAGACAATTTCTGAATTCCACATCTGTAAACCTGACATTCTTGCGGCGAGACAGTGGCTTCAACCATTTATGGATGAAAATTATTCGCACTTAGCTCCACACTTGGCAATATATGTGCGATGAGTTAAAGGGATTTTAGTAGGTTGATATCTTATAGTAGGACTAGTTATTGCACGTGTCTAAAGGTACAGAGTAATAAAAAATGATAAATAATAAACATATTTGTATTCATATTCAAAATCAAATCACAAACATAAAAAAGCGATAAAGAAATTTAAGCATCGATTTGTAGTAGGGGTGAGAGGTGATAGGTGACAATGACCGTGGTGATGATGGAGGTGGTGGTGGTGTTGATGATGGTGGCGGTGGTGGAGGTGGTGGGGGTGATGGCGGTGATAGTGGAGGCGGTGGCGGTGGCAATGGTGGTGGGGGTGGCCATTGTGGTGGTAAAGGAACGGAGAAAACAGAGGAAAAGGAAAATATTTCACTTTACTTTTTGTTCGTCAAATGTCACCAAGTGGCACCAAAAATAAAACTGCAGTGAAAATGCCTTTATTTAGTTAGTTTTACTTATCTTTATGCCACCCAATTCACTTTTCTCAACAACCACTACTCTGAATGACATCCAAGGTCATAAAGAGAGCCAAAGAGATGACCTTGTTGAGATTCTCGAAGCCAATGCATCTCTGAACACTTCAATTGAACTCAGTTACCATATCTCTAAGAATGAATCCTCATACTATGCCAGTCAATTTGGTTCTTAAACACAACTTCACTCAATTTCACAATCAACATTCACAATCCAAGGACCAAACAAGGTTCAGTAGATGTTGCAAACATCAAACTTGTGAGAACTTAAGCCTAGCATATGATTCAGGGTCCCCTATTTCTCAACAACTATTGCTACTGCTAATCAANTTCAATAGATGTTGCAAACATCAAACTTGTGAGAACTTAAGCCTAGCATATGATTCAGGGTCCCCTATTTCTCAACAACTATTGCTACTGCTAATCAAAACTACCATAAAAATTCATCCAAAATAAAAATTTTCAGCTAATCTTCAAAAGCGACAATAAGGCACTAACTAGGAAACTTTTCATTCACTTCCCCTCACCCCTTCCTTTTCCTACGTCCAGAGTTTATGTACATTATCAATAAAAGCATAAAAAAGAAAACAACAAATTCAATATGGATCGAAGTTGATTCCCCAAAATTTCATTAACACCCTTCTAAAATAAGATCAAAACAATCACCAAAATCTTGAGAATCGCACAATAGGATAAGTATATAACCAAACATCCATGAAATTTTAATACATAATTAATGTCTTAGTGTATATATGTTTTGGTGTATTAGTGTGTATGTGTTTTGGGGTATTAGTATGTTTGTGTTTTAGGTGTATTAGTATATGTATTTTGGTATATTTGTGTATCTTTTTTTCATAACTTGTAAATTTAAAAATTAATCTAGAATACAACAATTAAATCAAGTTTTCCACAAGCAGTGAAACCTTTCTCAACTACCACCACAATTATTAAAAAAAATATCATTAATATTAAAAAATGAAAGCTCGAACATCTACTCAAAAATATTCAAAAAGAAATAGTCATGTATACATGCAAGAAACCAACATGTATGCTCTTCAAAAGTAGATGTACAGTTGTGTCACTTGGAACCTGTGGATTACCACAGAAAAAAATCGTCATCGTTCATTCATACCTAGAGCAACATGGTGTAAGGTCTTCAAGCTTCAACATTNATATGGTAATCAAACTAACAAGTGACATTGCTATGTGGTAATCTTATTAACTTTTTTCCCTAATCATTCTTTTTTCTATTTGTGTTCACTGATTGAAACTGTTAGGAATTTGGATTGACCATACTCTAAAAACAGATAAGAGAGAGTAAGATAATTTTACATTTCATTGTGAATAGAAAATATTGTGAATGGAGGTTGATAAGTTTCTCTGTTAAAGTGAACTAAAAAATTGGGAGAATTATTAAATTAGCGAAATTTTAAGTTTTCATCTTTTAACACTTTATGGCTGTAATATGAATTGNAATGAAAAATATACACCTAGCACAAGCTCGCTTGAAGGTAAATCAACAATTGCTTGGCTTTCTTCTTTATGAGCCTCCCAAATTTAAATGGGTTGGTCTTCCCTCTACTTTCTTAAGGTGCTACACAATAAGTAATAATTGCACACATTGAAACAAAACAATAAATAGCATATAATAATCAAACAAAAATCTACAACTGTTACAAACTCACCTAATAGTAAATCTGTAACTGCTTGAATTGATGTTTTATGAGGCTCCTAAATTTCAATAAGTTTATTTTTACTCCATCGTTTTAAAGTATTACAACGCTCAATAGACAATATTAAACATCGAATCATAGCACAAAAATTTAAGAAATAAAATATTGTAAGCAAGTATGGCGGGAGAGTAGTTGTAATAGGTTAGGCGTTTCTATGATAACTATTAATTCACAAAAACACATATACACAACGGTATTATACACAAACGAATATACAAAAACACAAATATACCAAAACACACTCTTATGAATAATTTATGAGAAATAATTTCTAAAAGTACTTTTAAAAAGTCACTTCAAACACACTCTTATGTGTCTATTTTTTCTATTAAATTTAGGGTGTTAATATTAGTCATTAGATTAAATTTAAAGTAAAATTTAAAACGATCTCAATCGCGAATAGCAAAAGTCATTTTGTTTATCTTTTGAGATTTGAATTGTAAACTACTTTATTATATAGATTAATTGTGTTACTGTATAACAAACAGAAAAATCTTAAATAATTGTTCAAATTTAAAAAGAATGATCTAAAATTATTCATATCAATTCTTCTTTTAAAATGGTTCAAAATATATCGTCGATCATATCTTCCATATTAATAGAATTGTCATAAAAATATATAAAAATTCTCAAAAACAACACCATATATACAAATGGCTCTGGAAAAAAAACACTAATATAATCCATTGAAATTTACGATCTTTAAACGATAAATAAAATTTTGCTCATTTATATGACTCATGAATTTATCACATTTACTACCATTTAATTCAATAATATAACATAATTATAAACTTAACCACCATATTTTCAATCCAACTTATCCCTATGTAATAAATGCTTCAAGCAAAAAATAAAAAATACTAACAGAACATAATTAAATTTATAATCTTTAAATAATAAATAAAATCCTACTCATTTGTAAAACTAATGAATTTATCACCATTCAACTCCAAATGACACAATTTTTTTTGGGTGGTGGGGGGGGAATTATAAATTTAATCACCAAATATCTAATTCTCCACATATAAATATACACAAAAACACACTCACACACATTTTTTTTTTAATTACCAACAAACCCTGCTAACAAATAACTAATTTTATTAGAAATACAATCATTTAAGTTTTTAAGATAAAATAATAATAAATTAATATTTAATTAAAAAATATGATAAAAATTATGGTGATTGAAAAATCCAAATCATAAAAAGATTTTATTTTTTGTATGAAATGTTAGTAAGGATAAACAAGAGGAGGTCATATTTTAATTCAAGCATCGGATCTTGACTAGGTCCGAGATGAATATTGAGTACCAGCGGATCTGGTGGCCGACAACCGTTGGGATTTGATAAAGGTTGCGGCGTGATGTCTATGTGAGTCATGTGGCAATGATTTCTTCAAATCCCATGAAGACTAACTTTAAAGAAGTTGGGAATCCGACTCTGAGAACTTAGATTATGGTGGGGTCATAACATATGGCAATGATGCTGTCACGTGGAATTGTATGTAGGGATGGCAGTGTACTGATCTGTTCTGTTTGAACCGGAGATGAATTATACATATTAGACGGTGGACGTATATAAAAATATTCGTATAAACGCGTACGGGAATAAAAACGGAGATGGACTTATCCTTACCCCTGCCCCGCCCCCGCCCCCGCCCCCGCTACCCGTTATATATATATACTCGCAAGCCTTAACTAAATATATTTATTGTAATTACTAATCTAAAAATATGGTAATCAAACTAACAAGTGACATTGCTATGTGGTAATCTTATTAACTTTTTTCCCTAATCATTCTTTTTTCTATTTGTGTTCACTGATTGAAACTGTTAGGAATTTGGATTGACCATACTCTAAAAACAGATAAGAGAGAGTAAGATAATTTTACATTTCATTGTGAATAGAAAATATTGTGAATGGAGGTTGATAAGTTTCTCTGTTAAAGTGAACTAAAAAATTGGGAGAATTATTAAATTAGCGAAATTTTAAGTTTTCATCTTTTAACACTTTATGGCTGTAATATGAATTGTAATAATAAAAATTCTTCTAGGAAACTTCAAGTGTAGTGCTATCGTTTTCTTAGTTCAATTTTATTTTATTTTTCTTCATTTCTCTCTAATAGTTCAGTTTCTCTTTTTATAGTCCAATGACACTTTAAACAGAATACTATATTGTTTTAATTTTTACATTTTGTAATCTAGATTATTCACTAGATTATTTAGAATGTTGTTGGATTATTTAAAATATTATATTTATTTATAATTTTGGATTATACTACTTGGGCTTGAGCTTGAGCTTAAGCGGGTATGGAAAAACGGAGACGGGGACAGAGATTAAAAATTTATCCGTGGACGGGAATGAGGATGAAAATTATACCCGTTAACGGGGTGGACCGGGGATGGACAGAGTTTTTTTAAGTGGGTACGGGGATGAAAACTATACTCCCCGCCTCCGCTTCGGTCCACTGACATCCCTAATTATATGGACATTCCTTTGACTTTTGGTAATATAACATTGGACATCTCTTGATATTTTATAAATAATATAAAAACTCTTGATGTTTAAATTCATTTCACAGAGACTCCTCTGTATCCTTTCCTCAATTTTACTAACGGAAATTGATAATTTCGTTCTAGTTTTTTTTTTTTTNAATTGTGTTACTGTATAACAAACAGAAAAATCTTAAATAATTGTTCAAATTTAAAAAGAATGATCTAAAATTATTCATATCAATTCTTCTTTTAAAATGGTTCAAAATATATCGTCGATCATATCTTCCATATTAATAGAATTGTCATAAAAATATATAAAAATTCTCAAAAACAACACCATATATACAAATGGCTCTGGAAAAAAAACACTAATATAATCCATTGAAATTTACGATCTTTAAACGATAAATAAAATTTTGCTCATTTATATGACTCATGAATTTATCACATTTACTACCATTTAATTCAATAATATAACATAATTATAAACTTAACCACCATATTTTCAATCCAACTTATCCCTATGTAATAAATGCTTCAAGCAAAAAATAAAAAATACTAACAGAACATAATTAAATTTATAATCTTTAAATAATAAATAAAATCCTACTCATTTGTAAAACTAATGAATTTATCACCATTCAACTCCAAATGACACAATTTTTTTTGGGTGGTGGGGGGGGAATTATAAATTTAATCACCAAATATCTAATTCTCCACATATAAATATACACAAAAACACACTCACACACATTTTTTTTTTAATTACCAACAAACCCTGCTAACAAATAACTAATTTTATTAGAAATACAATCATTTAAGTTTTTAAGATAAAATAATAATAAATTAATATTTAATTAAAAAATATGATAAAAATTATGGTGATTGAAAAATCCAAATCATAAAAAGATTTTATTTTTTGTATGAAATGTTAGTAAGGATAAACAAGAGGAGGTCATATTTTAATTCAAGCATCGGATCTTGACTAGGTCCGAGATGAATATTGAGTACCAGCGGATCTGGTGGCCGACAACCGTTGGGATTTGATAAAGGTTGCGGCGTGATGTCTATGTGAGTCATGTGGCAATGATTTCTTCAAATCCCATGAAGACTAACTTTAAAGAAGTTGGGAATCCGACTCTGAGAACTTAGATTATGGTGGGGTCATAACATATGGCAATGATGCTGTCACGTGGAATTGTATGTAGGGATGGCAGTGTACTGATCTGTTCTGTTTGAACCGGAGATGAATTATACATATTAGACGGTGGACGTATATAAAAATATTCGTATAAACGCGTACGGGAATAAAAACGGAGATGGACTTATCCTTACCCCTGCCCCGCCCCCGCCCCCGCCCCCGCTACCCGTTATATATATATACTCGCAAGCCTTAACTAAATATATTTATTGTAATTACTAATCTAAAAATATGGTAATCAAACTAACAAGTGACATTGCTATGTGGTAATCTTATTAACTTTTTTCCCTAATCATTCTTTTTTCTATTTGTGTTCACTGATTGAAACTGTTAGGAATTTGGATTGACCATACTCTAAAAACAGATAAGAGAGAGTAAGATAATTTTACATTTCATTGTGAATAGAAAATATTGTGAATGGAGGTTGATAAGTTTCTCTGTTAAAGTGAACTAAAAAATTGGGAGAATTATTAAATTAGCGAAATTTTAAGTTTTCATCTTTTAACACTTTATGGCTGTAATATGAATTGTAATAATAAAAATTCTTCTAGGAAACTTCAAGTGTAGTGCTATCGTTTTCTTAGTTCAATTTTATTTTATTTTTCTTCATTTCTCTCTAATAGTTCAGTTTCTCTTTTTATAGTCCAATGACACTTTAAACAGAATACTATATTGTTTTAATTTTTACATTTTGTAATCTAGATTATTCACTAGATTATTTAGAATGTTGTTGGATTATTTAAAATATTATATTTATTTATAATTTTGGATTATACTACTTGGGCTTGAGCTTGAGCTTAAGCGGGTATGGAAAAACGGAGACGGGGACAGAGATTAAAAATTTATCCGTGGACGGGAATGAGGATGAAAATTATACCCGTTAACGGGGTGGACCGGGGATGGACAGAGTTTTTTTAAGTGGGTACGGGGATGAAAACTATACTCCCCGCCTCCGCTTCGGTCCACTGACATCCCTAATTATATGGACATTCCTTTGACTTTTGGTAATATAACATTGGACATCTCTTGATATTTTATAAATAATATAAAAACTCTTGATGTTTAAATTCATTTCACAGAGACTCCTCTGTATCCTTTCCTCAATTTTACTAACGGAAATTGATAATTTCGTTCTAGTTTTTTTTTTTTTATAATTGCCCTTCTCCAAATTTAGTACCAAATAAATTTAAAAATTTAATAAAATTAAATAAAATTTGATTTAGTATCCAAAGAATTGATATAATTTAGTACTCCAAAAAAACTGATTAAATGAATTTCAATATTAATTTAAGGAAAATAAAAATTAATTTGATATTAATTTGATAAAGTTGAATATAAATTGGATAAAATTAAATGTTAATTTTTTATAAATTATATATTAATTTACAATATAAGGTTCATTTCGTGTTGAATATTATTTAGTTTTTATAGTCAATGTGCAATTTTTTATTTATATTTAGTGTTATTTAAGTGACAAAATATATGTCTTAGATATATAAAAATTTTGAATTAGTTTCATAGAATAAATAATTGCATAATATGTAGTTTCATCTGTTTTATGGAATAAATAATAACAAAAACAACATAAGGGAAACAAAAGAGAGAGAAAGAGAGTATAAGATAGATAGAGAGAATTATAAGAGAGATGAAAATCTTAGAATTGTAAAATAAATGAAAGTCCAATTAGAATTATCGGACCAAAACGATCTGAATCGCGAAAAGTTCAAGTAATTTGAATTTTTATCCTACACATTTTTCCCCCAAAAAAATATCACATCACATATTTCTATCACATGTTGAATAATTTAATATTTAATTAATTTATAATTTAACATAATTTTTATTTTAGACATTATTCATATACGATAGTATACACATATTGAAAAAAATTTATCAATATTTTTAAAAAAATAATGGATAAAAATAAATTTTAAATGATGTAATTAAATAAATGAAAGAAAAAAATTTATTATTTAATATAATATAATTAATTTTTTAAATACTCAAATTTTATGTTATATTGTGACTTCAAAAATGAGTTACGACTAATAGATATATATTTGACTAATTTTTATCTTCAACACCTACAAAAATTCCAATCCTCCTTTCTTACTCTGTTTATTAGAGTGTAATGATAGGAATCTCCGTATTCATCAATCACAATAAGACACGAGTAACTGTACAGGTACAGGATATATAATAAACTAACGAATGCTCATTGGATGGCATTATTGAGTCGGAGGAGATCTCACTCCAATGAACCCTTTAATATATTCTTTATTTTAAAAAAAAAAATTAAATACACAAAATTCCTACCACCTATAAAATAAAACAGCTTATACTTTAATTTTTATTCCAGTTATATTTTCTTCCTCAAAATTATCACCAATCACTTACTTCATCTATCATTCCTTTGTCATACTCAAACATTCCTCTGTCATACTCAAACGTCAAATCGTATCACTTATTTCTATCACATGTTTAATCATTTATATATTTCCGTCTTAAAAATATTATATCACTTATTTCTATTATATATTTAATTATTTAATATTTGATTAATTTATAATTAATATAATTTTTATTTCAAATATTATTCATACATAATAGTATACACATGTTAAAAAAAATTAATACAATAAAATCGATTTTTTGAATACTCAAATTTTATATTTTATCGTGCCTACAAGCACAGGCTATGACTAGTTGACTAACAAAACTAAGATACATGCAACCTTACTACAGCACGAGTTACGACTAGTTGACTAACAAAACTAAGATATATGCAAACTTACTTTTACATGTAAAGAGTATGTCTAACTCAAATCTATAACGACAAAATTTTACTATCGTGTCAGAAGCCGCCCTCAATATATTCTTATTTAGATGTACAAAAAGCATGCTCACTCCAAAAGGATGTACAACAATAACCCTCTTGCCATATTGTTTAGGCAAAGAGTGAAAACTACATTGACCACTACTACTCAATTAGCTTTAGAAGATACCATAATAACTGGTAAAAACCCCGCAATAGCAACGACGTAAAATTACAATCCTATGGCAGTTCTCTGGTATTGTTTACCATTAACCATGTTTGCTCGCCACGAGAGCTTTTTCTAGCCAACAGACATACTAATCGCACAAAAGTAACAAGAGATGTCTGACAGAAAGCATTGCTGTGAATCGTTACCATCACCCCATAGGCGTAGGACTCTCTTCCATTCCTGCATCGACCTGATAGCTTCCCAGCATAATTGCAGTCAGCATCAACTTTCCAGCAACCGCAAAGTCCTTGTGTTGCATCAGAATGGCTTCCACTGAACTAACCATATCCTTTGAAGTTGGAGGCTCTAGATTTTCTTGCCTTAGCGGTAGGACTTCATCAAACCCTCCTTCATAATTTTCCGCTTCGGGTCCATAACACCTACTAGAAGCCTGGAAAAGTATGGTTTCTCTAATAGTCTGTAAGGTCTCTTCATCACTCCACCCTTCATCAATAGATGTTTGATAGAGTCTTTCCCAGTCATCCTGATTGGCAGCATTCCTCCAGCACTCCTCCAACACGCTCGTGTTACATTTCAAAAAGGATGAGCTGGTGTATGCAAAAACATCAAAAGCTCTCAAGGAGAGCTCTCGATTTTGACTTGTAAGGCACAATTCAATAAGATCTACTGGCAGGAGAAGCCGTTGCCTAACATGTTGCTTTTCTTCATTATCGGGAAATAGTACCAAAATTTCTTCCTGCAATATAAGGTGCAAGTAAAAGGAGAAGAGCATTGAAGAAGGGGATGAGAAATCAGAAGAAAGAGAAGGAAACTTCGGTTGCAAGCAATATCAATATTCAATAATAATTAAAGTTTCCTAAACAAATAGGCATACCACATACCCTATAAATATATATAGCCATATAGGGAGTACAAACCCGAAAGCAAGTAAATAATCAAAATCACAAATAAGTCCCAAAAGTAAAATGATAAATAACTCTTAATCCCTACATCTACGCCTACTATAACAAAAGACAATCTAATTCCCATCACAAGCTCTAATTGACTTGTCCTGTGTTTTTCTTTTTTCTTTCTAAATTATAAACATACCCATTGAGCAAACAACTCACCTTCCAATCAATCTTTTATGTGATGGCCACAAATAAATCAATCTCAATGAACTATGCACAACTGACATAGTGCCCAAAGCCTAGAAAAAATCAGACTAGATGAAATACCCTAAGAATTTTATATGGACATAGCATCTAGGAAAAGACCTGCAAAAGAAACCATTTGAGTAGATGCAATTTTTTTGAAGATAACTCTCCAAAATGGCCAAATAGTTGATACCATGATTCATTAATTGAATCATTTCATGCTGATGGCCCTTCATTATGACATAGCAAGCAAGTTTTATCACATTTTAGTATTCCAATAAAAGCATTGTAATATTACACATAAGAAAGAAGCAAAATCAACTGAAAAACATAACACAGCAACGATATCAAAAAATCTGACTCAAATCTAAGCTGTTGTTCATAAACACACCTGTAATTTCAGGATCTTCAGATCAGCCTCAATCCGCTTCACCTTTATGCCATAATTAGCATCCTTACCTGCCAAATATAAAGTTATCAGTTGGTGTCACTGGAACAAAAATAAATGGGAAAAAAAGAGCACAAACAGAATTACAAAACAAAGAATATTAACAGGCATTAAAAAGTAAAACCAGCAGCATATGATTTCAGTTAACAAGAGGGAAACAGCAGAGAAAAAAACATCGTAACCGGCTACTGAAACAGGGATAAACTGTCAATAGAGCAGCATAATATTCAAAAACATCGTGCAAAAATAAATCTCCTTAAACCCAGAAGCACATCAATTCTTTCAGTTTCACACAACAGTGATTCTGTCTTTCATACAGCAGCATCCTCATCCTCGATGCTTCTGGTGGGCATCACAGCAAAAACCCTGGCTCATAATGTACTTTCTATACGATATTCCCAGCTACCAGCATCACCATGATGGTTGCGTTAACAGAATAATCTTCCATCTGTCACATACAAGGAAAAAGCAAACAAATTCCAGAATGCAACAAACCATCCATAAACAGAGTTAAGATACTAGGTTCTGATTAGATGATCTTCCCAAAGAGGAATACAAACATAATAGCAGGTTCGCAGGTAAGTTCAATACCTTGGAAGTTGATTTGATTGAATGCAACATACCAATTTTTTGGAGCCAACGAATTGCATACCAACTCTCAGGTGAACAAGGAAACCTAAATTATTTCCACTAAAAAATTCATGCTTTTCATCCTGATCCCTGAAATGTCCATCTATGGTTTGGGCTAATCCCATCAGTAGTACCATCTCATGCAGCAAAATGTGTGAATTTATAGAGCTAACTAAGTGATACATCTAAAAGTTATTTGACACTGCAAACTAGACAATTCATATCAATTTCTTACTGTTTCAAATCACGCCCTATCAGAGCTCAATTAAAAGCACTGAGCATTCAACTACAATTGTTATTGAGATAACAAAGTAATTTTTATTAAGTACTTGTGATCTCAGGCGAAAGGGTCATCCACTGTAAGAAATAATGTGATACATGTTAAGAATTTTATGTTTTGGGTACAAATGGATGTAATGACACTTCCTCTCCAGAGTTCACATCAACAAACGAGGCCTGGGAGAGGAAGTTATATTATTTTTGTTTTCATGTAAATTTTCTGTTCATGTTTATGTTTTTTTCCCTTTTGATGTATCTAGTTCTAGTTTTCCTGCCCTTTCAGATGAGCTATTGATGTAGATAGTATTAAGAAAGAATTAGGGATAAGAAGAAAAAAAGAAGGGGATAAGAACAGAGAGAATTTGAGGAAGAAGGATTTAATATCAATAATTAATAATAATCAAAGTCTAGTCTCCCAACAAATATGTATCCCCTATATATATAAGGAGTTCACAAATCCTATATATATAAGGAGATCACAAACCCTAAAATAAATAAATAATCAAAATAACAACTAAATCCTTAAAAGTTAAAAGAAAATATTTAAAAAATAAATACTAAATTACTCTCATGATTAATCTAAAATATCTATCCAATTTCTATATGATCCCATCGGCTATGCTCTGTACATTCCTTTTATTTTAATGAACCTACTCTTTACCAAATAAAGGAAAGTATACCATAAGGATTACAGATTTTGTTCAAGAGGTTGATTTTAAAGGTATATGAGCTCAAAAAAAAAACAAGAGAATGCAGCTCATGCAAAACAAAAAGCCCATGTCAGGATAGGATGCAAAAACATGTCAAGGGGTTCAAAAGATTCAAGGCATATAGGGCGAATGAATATTACACCCAGGTGCACGCATATATACACAAAATCTTTCTCGAACTTATCTTCAAAGATATTTGAATTTATTTTTAATCAAATCACCCAAAAATACACATATCCAAAGCCATCTATTTCCTACACGTCCCAAAATGCAAAAATTCAATTAGAAACATATATTCACATCAGAAATGTCCCAACACATCCATTGGGGAAAATAACCTCCTCCTTGGGGAAAATAACCTCCTCCTTAGCGATAGGGCTACGAACCATGTAAATAAAGATGATCCACAGTATTCTAACTCCACCTACACACAATACACAACTGTTACAAAAATGACCAACGAGCTCTTCTTCTCTACAAAATATTAGTATTTGGTTTCTAAGGAGCAACAGTCCAAGAGACTATTTGAGCGTCAGGACTTAGGAGGCACTTTTGTAGTTCAAATCATTTTTGAAAGGGCAAAAAATGAAAAAATGTAAGACTAGACTCATCAATGAAAGCATCAAAAAAGGATTTACAAAAGTAGACCACACCCTAGAGTCTAGACATTAGTAACCGTTGTCTTGAGGTAACCCTATTCACTATAGAAGCAAGAGATGAAAACGCAACCATGTCCCTATCAATAAGATTTTAAAAGAAATCAAAACACCAGTGGATAGGAAACGAAGATAAGCAAGCCATAGACGTAATTGTGAAATTATGAGATTGGGACAAAGTTATACTGAGTGACGAAATAGATTTGAAAAAGAACTCTCTCCCCTACTTATCTTACAAGAATTGAATTGGTTTTGCCATTTCCAACAACAAACCAATGCTAGTGGAATGAGACAACACTCCAAGATATAGCTTTTCATGGATCCTAGCATTCCCCAATCAGCCTCATGAGAATCTTATCCCTTATACTAAATCTCAAACTTTTGGTGACACTATGCCACAAACATTAGCGTTCAATCGGAAATCTCCATAGCTACTTTCTCAACTAAGGAATGCTCCTAGCAATAACCGCCTAAAGCAAGGCCACTTCCAAATGATCTTTTTTCTCTTCCTCATTTCCCTCCCACATGAACTATCTCAACAACCTTTCCACTCCGCAAAATGAATTATATATCACCATTATGCTCCTTAAATGACTATATTTCTTGTATCATAAGTTATCATATCCTCCTTTACTATCTCTGTCAACAATAATTTTTCTATACCCTAAGCATTTCCATCAAAGGCTATCATATCACTCCTCCGAGTTGTAACTAATTTTCTTTGAATTTAAATCCTATTAGTATAACTCTACCATTTGACAAACATGCATTCCTAATTCTATATTTCTTGTTGCGAAACATTCATCTTAATTTCCGCATATCAATCATTAATTTTGAACATGTTGCTTCTTTGCCTAAACATTTGTTTCATAAAACTTCCCATCACCGTAAGACGTATACATTAATCACATCATATACCCAAAATACTTTCCCACTTAAAATATGTGCAAATTTTTGCAAATGTTAGGTATAGACCCAATCTTTACCTCCTATATCCCAATTAATGGAGACTAAACGGGATGCTACTATTTTTATATACTACTCCACTTGATCAATCTACTTGAAATTGAGCCCACATGTATCTCAATTTTTCAAGCTATACTATCTTACCATGTAGGTTCCATCTCTTCCCAAAATTATAATCCCTATATTTAGCTTTCGTTTTATTTATCTTAAGTTCTCTTATTTCATAGGTATACACGTACTAGTAGAGGTTAACAAAAAAAAAGACCATTAACTTAAAGAATTCATAAACCAAAGTACATGATGCTAGTAGAATTTGACATTTGATATAGAAATTCCAAAACAAGTTCTTGCCCATTATATTTTCACCATCTCAAAAGCAAACTCTACTTTCTTTAGATCAATCCGAATTTATTCTTTTAAAAAACAATTTCAAGTCAAACGATATGTTATGAGTTCGAGTCCAGGAATTATCCTCTCTAAAATGAGATTTTTTTTTTTTTTTTTGGGGGGGAGAAGGGGGACTTAAACCCTTGACCACAAGAAGGCAAAGCCTTCACAAGGCAAAGAGTACCATTGGACCGACTACCTATTATAAGGCAAGGAGTACCATTGGACCAAGTAATAAGGCTACCTATTATACACAAAAGTCTTGTACACCAAGTAAGACCTTTTTCCTAATTTTCTAAGAAAGCAAACTCTAATTGCTCTCGCTCACAAGTGCCAAGGTTGTCAATCAACAAAGTTCTATGGTCGACTTTGGATGGTGGCATGGATTCGTATTGGATTGCATTTGTCTACTATTTCTAATTCCAACCAGTTAAACTGCTACATAGGATTCATGGTGTTCACCATCCCACTCCTTGTTTGGTTAGCAAGCGTAGGCACATGTAGGACCCATGGTTATATATTAGATCAAACACAACAAAAAAACCTTTTGGTTTTATGCTATTGATAAAAATGTCCCTTGTCCAATTAATTCCAAGTTGATTTGGGGATAATAAGTCCACATCCAACTTGGGTTTGTAGACAATAGTCACAACAGACCGAGAAATACTTATCCAACTTCAATATGATTATACAAACAAAGGAATTATGGACCCATCAGGATAACTAAACCAATCCCACCTCTTATTCAAACAAAGGAATTGTTTTTCTCCCTCGACCCAAACATGCCCTATATTCTTTAACCTCTTTGGTGAACATTTCCACCTTTACTTTGTCCTTTTCTATTTTCTCCTCTCAAAATTAAAAATATCTATCTAGAAACACGTATAATAAAAAGGCGATAGGAAAAGGGTATTCTCATTCCAAACACCCCTCAATTGTGCAGGAGAGAATTAGTTAAGCCATGTAGTTTACACTTGGAAGGTAATGCCAAAAGACTTGTTAGTTAACTTGTCTAAACATTTATGACAAAATTTGCAGCATAATGTTTTGGTTTCTTTCCCCTATTATAAACCGTTTCATAAAGAAGATAATCAAGTTCCTTGAAAACAAAACTAGTCCAAAATCACAACCTTGAGGTTCTATCATATAGGTATAAAAGATTTGTCACAGAAGAATCACAAATCCTGTACACTTGCAATAGGAAGAGCAGAAATGCAATTCCAAATTGAGATTATTGTCAAATATCAAATCTTTGGACAATAGTAAAGTTATAACGTAACTGGTGCCTTAGTCATGCGATGCACATGGATCACAAGAGACAAAAATTAAAAGAGATGCAAAATAAAACATCTTCACTTCCGGGAAGAGTGAAAGCAAAAGTAAAAACTTAGAAAAAGTGGCCCTACACATTTTTGCCATGTGTCTATTATCCATCAGGAACGCAGATTTTGGGCTTTTTTGTGAATGCAATGTCAAAAACTTGTACTTCACTAATCAACGCCATAAATTACCAACACAAAAATCTTTAATTGCATCAATGCTGCTAATTTTTTCCTAGTTCAACAAAATGATCACTATTTATCATAAAGTTTTCAAGAAATCATCACAAAAGCAACATTTGGAACTGTAAAGGATTCTGAATATACGAGATTTAGTTCAACTCCACTCAGAACTGTTGCATGCAGCAAATTCCACATAATGAACATGCATCTAATGCCCTTTTTGCCTTTTTTATCTATATAATGTCACTTTCTAGCTCAATTCTGCAGTTTGTAAGAAGTGAAATCACATATACTTTGCACAATGTGTGTAACTTTATCATTTACAGAAAACTACACAAAGGCAAACAGAAAAAGTAACAACATGATAACTTGAACAAGGGAAAAGCTGCCACAGTGATATATCGTAATAGCTGAAGAATAGGAAAAAACACCTGCAACCGCAGCAATCTTTGAGAGATTCAGAAGACGCTTTCTGTCTGCCAATGTTGATTTTAAATAAGATTCATCAGACTCAAACCCTTCCTCAGTTGCTGAAATTGAGCTATTTGCTTGAGAAATAGCCAATTTATGAAGAGTTTCGGAAGCTGAGGAAAACTGATGAAGGAAAACTTCATGAAGCCACAGAAGATCTTGATGCTGCTTTAAAAAAGTAGCTAGCTCTTCCTGAAACTCTTCCCCAAGTCTCATAAGCTTTGAAAATTGTTTGTTATCACACAATTTTTGAAAGACGAAGTAACTAAACCCTCCTTTAGGTCCCATGCTCTCATGCTGCACAACAATTATTTAGATTAAGGAAAAAAATAACACCGAGAAAGTAAGTTAAAAATGTAACATCACAAAACTAAATGGTAAAGAACAAGAGAACATTACATTATTCAATATTTTCTGTGATCCTCAGCGTTAAAAAATAAAGGAAGAATCTACATAACTATATTTATACCATGAGATTTCTGAGGAGCTCAAAATCATTGAGGTCACTGCATATATTCCAGAGAGTTTGATAGCCTTCATGTCGTTTGGCAATAGACAATATACTTGAAGAAAGCTCTTTAACAATCTCCTCGTTTTGCTCGTCAGTTCCACCACTTAAATCCTGCAAGGGTAAAAACAATACTTAAAATTGTAAAAGATAATAATCTTGAATACTGAAACTCACATATTTCCACATCCAACATCTACATGCAAGTCCTTGAGTTTCAAATGCAAAATTTTCTTTCCAGGAGAGGGCATTTCTTCCATGTAGATACTCTCTAGGAAAGGACTTGGCGTCAGCACACGGAAGTATCCATAAAAATTTGCACGATACGGATAAAGCACGGTACAAGAAGATCTTAAATAGGGTATAGGCACATCTGGGATACGTCTATAATTACAAATATTTTGATAGACAACAGAACCTCTTGTATTAAAATAGAAAAAGGTAGTACATCAAGAAAGATTGGATAAGAATCCAATCATAATCAAGGGAATACAAATTGAAAAGCAACAAACTTTAAGAAGCCTATAAATCACACGATACTCTCCATCCCATTATTATAGCACAAAGCGGAGTTCCTTTAAAAGCCTTTGTAATCAAAGCCCAAAACGATGCCAAAAAATGAATACACTCCCATAGTCCTTCTACACTCTCATTCCAGTCTTCAAAAATTCTTATAATTACATATATTTTATAACTATATATTAATAAAAATTACAACTCTTGGTTAATTTTCTATTAACATAATTTTTTCTTGGAAAAATACATAAGATAGTGAAACAGGTTTAAGTCTAAGAGATTTAACATTTACACATTCAGACTTCAACACATGGCACAATAAATGGCCAACTAGAGAGCACTCATTCAATCGCCTCAGTCGATAAGAAAAAGTTCATGGTCTCTGCCAACTTCTTCATCAAGTGGGCTCTCTCTCTCTCTCTCTCTCTAACTTTTCCTCTGATTCTCAATCCTCTCCCTAAATTTCTAATATCTGAATCCACAACAATAGTCACTGTTATTGCCACTGCTGGTGAGGATATGTCACTCTGCTGGAGCTCTGCTACAACTATGAGGGCAATTGAAGATTTGCATGGACATTCTTTTATTAATTTTTCGACTCATACGGAGTATCTCTGACCCATATCCGATACAAGGACGCGTACCCACATCGAATACGGATACGTAAACCCACATGAAGTATCCATGATTCCTAGTGTGGCATAATATACAATATGCACTATGCAACATAATAAACGATATGCACCCTATTTATGTCTGGCAGTTCAAACAAAACAAATGTGGAAACCAGCCCATTATGGCCCAGATAGGAAAGTACCAATCTCTCATGACTTCATAAAAGTGGGGTTCCTCTACCCTCACCAAAATATAGATTCTCTATGTTGGGCTTTTATTTCTGCTTCATTCTGAAAAATTTGCACTGGGATTTTTCAAATTTCTTCATATGGAAACCAGTGGCCATCATAGTTCAAGCTATGTATGACTAGCGTACAACCTACGGGCTTCTTAGCAAAAAGGAAAACATGTTTCAAAGAGTGTCCAGCACAGGCCCTTGCATTAAGGGTAATTTGAATATACAACATAATTTTGGTGACTTACGGTAGAGTCCAAGTAAACATGTATCAACATGAAAATTAACATTAAGGAACCTTAAAAGCAAGGCAAGTTCTGTCGCTAGGTCAATTTAAATGTTCTGGCACAACTTTTTAAGTCAAGCCAGAAACATACTGTCCAGAGATTTTTTTAGGCCAATCCTTCCAGAAATTGTCAAATTGACTTCGTCAACTCATTCATCAAGTTTAGAAAATGGCCCAATCCACAGACCTAAAAGATTGTCAGTGGAGCTAAATATTTTCATCTGGAAGTGCCATAGCATTCCAGCAAAATAAGCCTAGAGAAGGATGAGTAACTAAATGAATAAAATATCATGTTTATAGCCCAAGCAACTCGTGAATGCCTGCTAATTTCCCACCAAGATCAAACAAGGAAATATAGGCCAGAACAATATTACCTGGTATGTGGGTTGGACAAAAGATTTTACTTGCTGATAAAGGGAGTCAAGGNTTCTAATATCTGAATCCACAACAATAGTCACTGTTATTGCCACTGCTGGTGAGGATATGTCACTCTGCTGGAGCTCTGCTACAACTATGAGGGCAATTGAAGATTTGCATGGACATTCTTTTATTAATTTTTCGACTCATACGGAGTATCTCTGACCCATATCCGATACAAGGACGCGTACCCACATCGAATACGGATACGTAAACCCACATGAAGTATCCATGATTCCTAGTGTGGCATAATATACAATATGCACTATGCAACATAATAAACGATATGCACCCTATTTATGTCTGGCAGTTCAAACAAAACAAATGTGGAAACCAGCCCATTATGGCCCAGATAGGAAAGTACCAATCTCTCATGACTTCATAAAAGTGGGGTTCCTCTACCCTCACCAAAATATAGATTCTCTATGTTGGGCTTTTATTTCTGCTTCATTCTGAAAAATTTGCACTGGGATTTTTCAAATTTCTTCATATGGAAACCAGTGGCCATCATAGTTCAAGCTATGTATGACTAGCGTACAACCTACGGGCTTCTTAGCAAAAAGGAAAACATGTTTCAAAGAGTGTCCAGCACAGGCCCTTGCATTAAGGGTAATTTGAATATACAACATAATTTTGGTGACTTACGGTAGAGTCCAAGTAAACATGTATCAACATGAAAATTAACATTAAGGAACCTTAAAAGCAAGGCAAGTTCTGTCGCTAGGTCAATTTAAATGTTCTGGCACAACTTTTTAAGTCAAGCCAGAAACATACTGTCCAGAGATTTTTTTAGGCCAATCCTTCCAGAAATTGTCAAATTGACTTCGTCAACTCATTCATCAAGTTTAGAAAATGGCCCAATCCACAGACCTAAAAGATTGTCAGTGGAGCTAAATATTTTCATCTGGAAGTGCCATAGCATTCCAGCAAAATAAGCCTAGAGAAGGATGAGTAACTAAATGAATAAAATATCATGTTTATAGCCCAAGCAACTCGTGAATGCCTGCTAATTTCCCACCAAGATCAAACAAGGAAATATAGGCCAGAACAATATTACCTGGTATGTGGGTTGGACAAAAGATTTTACTTGCTGATAAAGGGAGTCAAGGAGTGCATCTCTCCTCTTCCAATACTCATTTAGTAGGTATTTGTGTTCTTCTCCACGCTCAAGTTTAGCTGTAATAGCACCTGAATATGTCTCCAGTAGTACATCAGCCAGTGCTTCTAAGTGCGAATGAAAATTCAATTTTGCAGACTTATGGAGATGAGATGTTTCACTTAACAGCTGAAGCATGAAAGATGCGATGCTCCACAGTCCACTTCGTACAACAGTTTGACAATGCCATGGTGTTAAGCCCTCAGGCAAGGGATACCAAATGTGATGCTCATTTCTGTATTGTATCGTCATCCGAACTAAAGTCCCGCATGCATTTGAGAGTTCACAAGCTCTTTGGAACTGAACTTCAAATGGCATCTCCACACTAATAATATATTCAAGTTGTCTCTCCAAACAACAAAATACTTCCTCAAGATCTGAAACCTTGCTGTAGAATACTTCAGCATTATCCCTATCCATTAGAAGAACAGTATTCCGACGTGCTCTCTCACCGACTAATTGAATCAGATCCCAAAGAGCACCAGAAATTTCACTTTGTGAAGTAGAATAAGGAGAGACGGCTGAACGGGTCTGGCTGATCATGTTTTGCAGCTCCCTTAGTTGAATCATGCCAGCAAGCTTTTCCCCATGCTCCATGATAATTTGCAAAGACTGTCCTGAAAGCAAACAATAAATTGTAGGTTTACTGTGTTCATAAGCAAATAATGATAATAGGAAGAATAACCCTGTATGATAAAAGGGAATGAGAAGCTGCTTGCATTTTTTGCTAACAAACGCTCTGGAAGAAGATTAGCTGAAATGTAATTCAAGACTAGCTAGAGGAAAGTGGACAATTGCTATCCAAGATGGTATCATGTTGCCCATATATTACTATAGAAAATAATATCAAAAAGTGGCCACATCTGAACTCATTTCCTTCATTATCATGTGACCTACAAGAGATCTGTCAGCAACAAATGCCAAATCTATTTAAGCTCCCTCAGCATTAATTCATTTAGTAGACATTAAATAGATGCTAGATGCAAAGAGCTTCATTAACCATGGGCTTCCAAAGTGTAGTAAGTGTCAGACGTGTGGAAAAATACAGAAAATAAAATATGGAGGGCATGTGCAATTGATCATACTCTGTCTCGAGCACAGTTCCTCATGGCACTTGGATAAAGCAAGAAACTGGAGAAACTTTTGATGCTTCTGCTGCTTCTCCACGAGTTGGGAGGACACAACAGCCAGAGCCACGATCTCAGCACCCCTGGTTGTTGTCCAATGTTTAGCTAGGGTGTCAACAATTGATTTACTTATTCTAGCAAATACATTTGTTTCTCCATCCCTTTCAAATGCTCCAGAATGTCGAAGTTTGTCAAGTGCACCATCAACCTTCCCCGATAAAAGAAAATCATGGAATACATGATTCAGTAAAGCTTCTGATTCTTCATCTTGAGCAGTTCGACGAGCAATCCCAGTGAAAACTGCCCTTTGTCTATCACCAGCATCCCAAGCTTCGGAACTAACCCTTCTAGGAGCAATGTTACCAGCAAATGAAAAGTTTCTTCTCTCCTCCTGTGCAGATCCTTCATTGGAGCTCCCTTTGCGCGACAAGCTTCGTTCAGGCGGTTCAACTCCACCAAGTAAAACAGCCTTCTCAGGAATTGCCCATACTCCAGCTTTCTCAGTGAGTACAGCCCAGGCTCCATCTTCACCATCATCTAAAGAAGGGATAACTGAAGCATCCATTACTTTTCCCGCATCATAAGGTAGATCAAAATGATAAAGTCGGGTAGAGTTTCTCCAGTAATGTGAGACTGTTGCAGTCCCATCAATGGAGAGTATAATTGCTGAACCAGAAGGCTTGCCACCCACCTTCAATCGCATAGAAAATAAGAAGTCCTCGTCTTCAACTCTTGCTTTTGGTATTATCACTTGGATCGGAGCTTTTTTCTCCAAAACCCTCCCGTGTATCGGCTCAATACGCTCTAGGGAGAAATTCACACCTGATTTGTATTGCATGGTCAGAAGAGAATATTCTGTGTAGCTTGAAGTGGTGACCCGATCCTTGCAGAAGATTGCAATAAGGATAGTAATTTCTTTGCCAAGATTGCCAATTTGCAGATCAAGAGGCCAGATTCGCTTCTGACCAGCTAGATCCTTCTGGATACCCAAATCACCACCAGTGCCAATTATTTCTTGGGACCAGAGCTTTGATACAGAAGAATCAGGAGAAAGTTTAACAGCATAACACTGTATCTCATGATCTGTCAATAGAAGGAATTGTCTTCTAGGTTCCTCTAAAGGATGATGGTCATAATGCCAAATCAACGACCTTGGATAGCCTTTGCCACCCATAAGTTGTCTACCATCACTGCCTTGAGGAAATGGACTTAACATATCGTGATAAATTATTTTACGCTGAATTCCAGAAGGGCTGCAGAGGAACTGCCAAAGCTCACCATTGGAACTACATGCAAGAGCAACACAAATGTAAGGGCAATCAGGATCAGGCATTGCAGAAGCAATCAAAGAGTTAAAAGAACTAGATCCAGTTGAACTATTTCCAGGCCTGCTATGTTGTCGCTGCTTGTTTGTCGTCGTTTTACCATCACCAGGTGAAAAACTCAACTGAAATTCATCTGTAGATGCAAGACTCATAACGCGAGTGGTATTACCTTCAGAATAGATGTTTGGCCAGTATATAAGAGCTCGAGTTTTCCGATTACACAAAACGATACCGGCAGGGTTGCATTGTTGAGCAACCTTGTCCGTGCTTTTACGAGTGCTATCCCAATTGACAACACATAGTAACCAAATGTTTCCATGACCTGAATTTGTAGTCATATCACCAATTTCTAATATACTTGAAGGAAGATCAAGAGTAAAACATTCTCTTGGTGCAGCGGATGATAAGAAACTCCATATAAAGAGTCTACTTCCACATATAATCCATGTCAGGGAGCTCTCCTTGTCCATTCCACCAGAGATGCAGGCATCACCTGCCAGGAAAAAAAAACAATATTACAAATATTATGGTCTTTAAAGTAATGCAAGTTTTTAAAGAAACTGAAAATGGGTGAGAAAATATTGTAGCAAACCATACTAACCAGGAGCACGCTTCTGCAGAAAAATAGCTTGTTCATCACGAACCACTTGGGGAAACTCGGCAACATAGACAGGCTGAACGGGATCTATATCACCCCCTTTCTCACTTTTCTTCACTGGAGGGATTCTGTATGAATTAATACCAACAATATAAGAACTGGAGATATCACTAACAAAAATAACTCCATACCATATCCTGGTCACACTTCTTCCTTTTTTCACATTTCCCTCTTTGCATTCTATGGGATTCAGAAGAATCATTATGTTGGGCATAGAAACCAGAAAGAGTTTCAGAGATAATGAAGCTATTGGCACCACCAATAAGGTAAAAAAATTAAATCAGTAACCAGATTAATCTTCTAATAAAATTTCAGAGATAATGAAATGTGCACCCGTATATTCGCACATTTCCTTTCACTCTGTCTGAGAAACTGAATTGAATTCAACACATGTTGACATTATCCTAATCATTTCACGCACCAGTTTTCTAGGACTCCGTCGAGCCCTACGTAGTCAAGTGCACATATTAACTCCTGTTTGGTTGGATCATTTTTAGCACCAATCACTCTTTGGAAATCAAGATGAGATCAATTTTCAAACTCTAAAGGATGTTATTCCTTTTGGAGCACTACCGAAATACTGCCTTAATTGACAAGAGTGACCAAAAAATGGAGGGAAAAAAGGTCCAAACAACTTGCAATTTATAAAATGTGGATCATCTCAGTGATAAACTAACCATCTCGATATATCACACACTACTTAATAAAAATATATAAGACTCGTAAACTATAACACTGATAATAAACACCAAAATTTCCCCCCTTGACCAAATAATACCAACATTGCACACATAATAAGTTCTTATTCTTATACAGAAACACACTTAAAAAATGATGACAAAACCAAAACCGATGCAACAGACCATCTCTTTTGACTTGTCCCCTCCCGCATATAGACAGTTTATTCCTATGACTCCAACTAACTCTGCATAAGTGGTAGAGAGTCCAAAGCATAAGTGGTTGAGTCCAAATATTGCAATGTGTTGGATAGTGTTCAAAAGATTCAAATGGACATTTTAAAGGTCAATAGGCTCTTAGAACTTCTTCAGTTCATGCATCCAACTCATGCATATATACATTATGTATAATATATATAACTATACATGTATATAATAACAACTAATTCATGAATACAAGTCATTCATGAATGTACACGAATATATAAGATAAATATGATGCATGTACATGTATAATACATATATAAACTCCATACATTGGACATAATGATTAATGTATATACATTATACATTAACCTCAAAAATATAGTTCATGCATAAGAAACATGAATGCATGTATACAATGATATTCATGTACAAGTACGACACATATATCTATTAATTAATAATCTCATTGGTACAATCAATTATATTTCAATCTACCAACACACACACACACGTCATATAGCTCCACCAACGAGTGTTACCTGGCGAGAACAGAGAGGCGAGAGGCCCATGGAGCAGGAGTGCCGGTGCTAGGGCGGTTAGGAATTGAATTGTCAGGAAGCGATCTTCGATTCTCTGTGAGAGGTGTTATAGGCGAATCAGTGGGTACGCGACCTAGAGTACTACGTTCCTTTCGAGCGCTGAAATTCGATTTCCTCGTTCCGGGAGAGAACATGACTGGTTGAGTATGACTCAAAAACCTTCAAGAGAGAGAGGGGGGGTTTGGGGTTTAGGGCTTAGGGCTTAGGGCTTTACAGCAAATGAAAACGGAGGATAGGGTACGAAAACGAGGTCTGGGGATGTTAGTTTGTAGAGAGAGAAAGGGGTTTTGGTGTGGAAAGTATGATCATGGAGTTTTGAGAAAAAAGGTGGGAGAATTTGAATTTGATGTGTCGAGGATTTCGTTTTCGTTACCTGCAATGCAAACTAGTTGGGCGATGGAGCGAAGAGAGTTTTCATTTTGTTCAGATGCGACGAGAGTAAGCTAAGTGTGCTCGAAGCTAAAGTTTGATTGGTTTGACTCGTGGAAAGTCTCAATCAACAGTTAAATGGATTCGAAGAGTATTATTATTAATCAGGGTCGTTAAGACCACTTAGACTTAAGTTTTTATTCAATAAAGGGGTGGTCAATTCAGTGATTAAAAAGTCAGATTTCAAGTGTCCATAACTATCTGCTCCAGTCTGATCCCAAAAAAAAAAGTGTCCATAACTATAGCCCCTTGGAACTAAATTTATTCTTCAACATTTAAAGTACTTTGTGAGACTTTAATTTCGACCCCGACGTAGGTGGGATAGGACCCCTACAATCTGCATATAGCTATATAGTATTGAGGGGCAATACCTTTTGGCAGATACGTAGAATGACTTACCTGTATATCCATTTGAATCATCAAAAAAAAAAAATTATTCAAATTTAAGTCAATATTTGAGTAAAAAGTTTGATTTTATACAAAATATTTTAATGAAAAAACTTAAATTAAAAGAAAAAATTTAAATTTAAATGAAGACAAGCCTAAATCTGAATGAGGTTAAAATATGATAATTAGAATAAAATATAAATATTAGTGATTTGAGTAAATATTTTTTTTACCTAAATTTAAATTTTTAAAAATGAAAAGATTGAAAATGCTCTACAAACCAAAATTTTAATGTCATACCCAAAGTTAGTGATGAACCTAGATCCAATTGGATCTAAGGTCAGTTCATAGATTGAGCCCATATCGTCAAAAGACAGGTTATGTTTAACTCAAGAGTTCAAGATGGGTCAGGTTAACACATGTGGGAGAGCAATCATCAAAATAGCTATGATTCCGAGATAATGTATATCTCCAATTATAGTTATTCTCTCTAGTAGATTAGTAGTTTTACCCTCATGACACTACATCAGGTTGTGAGCTTTTAAATTGTAAACCTCCTCTTTCAAATGGGGACAGATCTCACACACTACACCTTGAACGTGGATGGAGCTCCTCTGTTGTTAGAGGTCTAACAGCAAAGTTTGTTGTTAAGTGGAACGGTGTCGTTCTACTCAAAAATAAAGAACCCATCAACAAGTCTAACGACGTCGTTCAAAGGCAGTGGGTTTTCACCAATAACAACGTCGTCTCCGGGCCTTAAACAAAATCGATTTTCATCAATGCAGCTTGCCCCAAATCAACAACCCTTCATTCCTCTTCTTCTCAAGCAAGAACGATTGTCTTCCTCATTCCGATTCTTGCTCGAACCACAGTTGTCTTCAAGCAATCTATCGACCACAATCATCTTCGAGCAATCTGTGGACAACAATCATGTTCGAGAAATTAAAGCCCTAACATCAATGTTCTTAGGGCCAATAGTAGAATTAATAGTCGAATCATTCCGAAAAAGTTAGGAGATAAGTAGGGATTTGGTTTGTTTTGTTCCACTTATGACATGAATTGGTATAGCAGACGTAGAAGAACACTTCATTAACTTAATGGATGTCCTCTATCTCCCATTTTATTTATTTATTTATTTTTTGTTGGTGAGCGTGGTGGAGAGACTGGAGGCTTTCTAATCACTATAGGGTGGCATCATATTATTAACATTCAACCATATATAGCAGTAACTATTGGATACCTGATTTGTTTTCTTGAAATTTCTTGTCCATTGTCTACAACACAATTTTTGGTAGTTCATTTAATTAATTTCATTTTTTTGCCATTATTCCTGGATATGAAATTTTGTGATTGCCAGCTTACTTTTTTGGCTNTACAAAATATTTTAATGAAAAAACTTAAATTAAAAGAAAAAATTTAAATTTAAATGAAGACAAGCCTAAATCTGAATGAGGTTAAAATATGATAATTAGAATAAAATATAAATATTAGTGATTTGAGTAAATATTTTTTTTACCTAAATTTAAATTTTTAAAAATGAAAAGATTGAAAATGCTCTACAAACCAAAATTTTAATGTCATACCCAAAGTTAGTGATGAACCTAGATCCAATTGGATCTAAGGTCAGTTCATAGATTGAGCCCATATCGTCAAAAGACAGGTTATGTTTAACTCAAGAGTTCAAGATGGGTCAGGTTAACACATGTGGGAGAGCAATCATCAAAATAGCTATGATTCCGAGATAATGTATATCTCCAATTATAGTTATTCTCTCTAGTAGATTAGTAGTTTTACCCTCATGACACTACATCAGGTTGTGAGCTTTTAAATTGTAAACCTCCTCTTTCAAATGGGGACAGATCTCACACACTACACCTTGAACGTGGATGGAGCTCCTCTGTTGTTAGAGGTCTAACAGCAAAGTTTGTTGTTAAGTGGAACGGTGTCGTTCTACTCAAAAATAAAGAACCCATCAACAAGTCTAACGACGTCGTTCAAAGGCAGTGGGTTTTCACCAATAACAACGTCGTCTCCGGGCCTTAAACAAAATCGATTTTCATCAATGCAGCTTGCCCCAAATCAACAACCCTTCATTCCTCTTCTTCTCAAGCAAGAACGATTGTCTTCCTCATTCCGATTCTTGCTCGAACCACAGTTGTCTTCAAGCAATCTATCGACCACAATCATCTTCGAGCAATCTGTGGACAACAATCATGTTCGAGAAATTAAAGCCCTAACATCAATGTTCTTAGGGCCAATAGTAGAATTAATAGTCGAATCATTCCGAAAAAGTTAGGAGATAAGTAGGGATTTGGTTTGTTTTGTTCCACTTATGACATGAATTGGTATAGCAGACGTAGAAGAACACTTCATTAACTTAATGGATGTCCTCTATCTCCCATTTTATTTATTTATTTATTTTTTGTTGGTGAGCGTGGTGGAGAGACTGGAGGCTTTCTAATCACTATAGGGTGGCATCATATTATTAACATTCAACCATATATAGCAGTAACTATTGGATACCTGATTTGTTTTCTTGAAATTTCTTGTCCATTGTCTACAACACAATTTTTGGTAGTTCATTTAATTAATTTCATTTTTTTGCCATTATTCCTGGATATGAAATTTTGTGATTGCCAGCTTACTTTTTTGGCTGAGAAATGCTACTTTGTTAAGTTGTATTGATTGATGCTGCAGAGTGCAGCTGTTTTCTGAATGTTAGCTTCTAAGTGAGTTCGTTGTGTTTTCAGTTATTTTTGTTCCATAGTATTCTAATGTGGAACATTTCAATGAATGTTCAAGAATGTATTGCTAGGATTTTTGGTACCAACTTATACCAACACTTTTATTTTTTGTTTGTAGTGTCAAAGAATGGCAGTGGTGAATGAAGCTTATTTGCATGGTAGTTCACGTTGTTGTTCATGTATGCTGGTTTTTCGGAGTCAAGCAATGCTTGTCTTCAGCTACTTGCGTCTGTTAGTTGAAGACTATTGCAAGATCAGAGGAGGCTTCCAGTGTTGCGTACTAAGTCTAGAATGGTTTTTTATGCCAATTGATTCTTGGTTGTTGGACTAGAAGGTGGTGGAGTTGTTTTGTGATCAAAGGGCATGGGTTTGATGTATGGAGGCAAGGCTTTCCAGCTGGGCAAAGAGAATGATGCTTAGAGTAGCATAAAATGGCTTGAGTCCTTTTGAAGGATTAAAGTCATTTCATGTGTTTAAACATTTAAACTCTTGTTCATTGATTCTTGTAATTTTTCCATTCTTTGATTCTTGTAATCTCCTGAATTCATGGAATAAAATCTCTTTATGGAACTAGTTTGGTGTATTGGTTGAAAATGGTTCATGACATGAGTGCATGTGTATTGGTTGGTTGAATATGGTGTTTTGGTATATTGGTTGAAGATGGTTCAAAACATGAATGAATGTGTATTGGTTATTTGAACATTGTGCATAGTATATAACAAAAATTGTACTTGTCCAAGATAACAACTACAGATTGAACACCATGAATCATACACAGGTGAGATCAATTCCATAAAAAAAGGAAAATGAGATCATGTACATAGGTGTTTCCAAAGGGATGACAAATCTTCTAAAACACGAAAATAGAAGATCTAGTATCCCCATAGCAAAAGAATACATTGTGTAACGCCCCGATTTTTCGAACTCATTACTCGATTAAATCAATTGATCGATAATAAACCACAAATAAATTTCTGAGTATAGGGTCAGAACTCTAATTGCCTCAATAAATTTATAATCACAATTTTGATCTCCAAATACCAATAAAATAATCTTCTCAATATAAAAATGAATTTGTTCAAGTCATACATCACCCCAATAAACCCACAAAATTAAAAATTATATTAAGATTCGTTTGTCTTCGATTCTTCAAATATCAACTCTGGTCCTTCTCTCTGAGATAATCCTGAAAAATATTAAAAGCGGGGAAGCATACAATATGACAAAAAATAATATGCTGAACAAGAAAAGAATATGAGTGATCAAATACCAAATAATTCAATCGATAGACAATCATAGATAAAAGAATCAAGAATCCAATTCGATAAGTCACATAGCTTAATATCTATCAAACCTAGCCTTATACTCAGGTCCTCTTTGTGACATGACAAGTGACACCTGAGTATTTAAAATTCATACTCATATCGAACCATTACACCCCTCAGGGCTGTAATCACAATCGTACCCCGCAGGCCCATAATCACATTTCACCAATTATGCCCCCAAGTACACTTTTGTACATGTACCAATCAATCTCAAAGTATTTAGCTCAATGTACAAGTACAGGTCAACTG